TGTGAACACTTGCATGGAAACACATTTCTCTAGAAGGATGAGGAAAAGTCATTATATACTATGCCATAGTATTTGGAAAAAAAGTGAAGTGACTGCTTTAATCAGAGATTTACTCGTAAGGGTAACTAAAGAAATGAGACTTGAAGACCAAGAAAAAGAAGTTGAAATGACGAGAGATGTGACGCTATGCAACTAAAAAGCGTTGTCTCACAGTGCTAGAGACTGAGTCCAAGGTCTCCAGGAGAGCTGATTTCCTTCTGCTGTTTGTCAAAGGTCAAGGCTTCTTTCCACAGTCTGTTTGGTATTGCTCCCTCCCTGTGTTTTCACTTAACTTTTCTCCATACATATTTTTGTTCCCAAATTTCCTCTTCCGGGGCACCAGTCATATTAGCTTCCAACCTACCCCCCAATAGACTCATTTTTAATTGAAAATTAATTTTCCATATAACGTATTTTGATCATGGTTTTTCCTCCCTCATTTCCTCCCAGATCTTTTCTGCCCATCCAATTCCATGCCTTCGTTCTCTAGATCTTTAGAAAATAAAAGGACCAATTAAAAAAGCAAAAATCAAAAAAAGAAAATCATAAAAACATGTAATTGGGAACCATAATATTTAAGCAAAAGACCCTTAAAATAAAAAAATGTTCAAACAAAACATCTCCAAAAATATGATTGCATTTGTTTTGTGTTAGTTGGGCTTAGAGCCTGCCCTTCGGTGTGGTTTTTATACCAAGTGTGACACCATTGGAGAAAACTGATTTTTTTCCCCTTTTGAGAGAATGTCGAATAGAGATAGCTTCTGGGTGAGGGCTGGGGACTCCTGTCCAGTTACTGTCTCAGCACTGGGACCCCATCTGGCTTGAGCCTGTGTAGAGCCTCTCATGCAGCCAGTTTCTGTGACTTCATACTGTGTCAGTCCTGCTGTGTCTTTAAGCACTACTCCCTCGGTGTCTTCCAACCCCACCAGCTCTTACAATCTGTCTCTTCTGCATGACTCCTTGAGCCCTGAGAGGAGGGACTTGATTAAGCCATTCTGTTTAGGACTGAATGAGCCAAGGTCTCTCAACCTCTGCACATTGTCCAGACAGACAAGCCATGCCCACTCTCTCCCCTGCCTGCCAAGGCAAGCTGATCTCCAGCTTCCAGCCTGAGTCCTCACCCCCCACAAGACAGCTTCTGTGTCTCCCTTCTCCCTTCTCTCTCTCTCTCTCTCTCTCTCTCTCTCTCTCTCTCCTCTTCCCCCTTCTCCCTGTCCCTTCCATAACCCACTAAATAAATATCCAACTTCACTCTACATGACATGCCTATCTGGCTTAGTCTCTCACCCACCATACCATGGCTTTCTGCCTGGCTGCATTTGTGACCTGCTGTAGTGGTCTTGGGACCTGCGGCGTGGTCTCATGGCCCACTGCCCACTGCTGCCACTTGGGGACCTGCAGCGTTTCTGCTGCTGTGCCCCTCAAGGAACCTGCAGCATTTTATCTAAACTTTTACACTCAGCCTGTCATTGCAACCTACATCTATTACAGCACTGTGACTTACATTTATATTTATTTCCACAACTGGTTTGTATGCTCTGATGATGCAAATTCACAGCTCTCACCTCGAAGGGAGTAAGAATCTATTCTGTAGCCAAACGAGTAATCATGGCTCAGAAACAGAAGTGGGATGTCCCAAACTCCATATTCCAACACGTTACCATCAAATACCAGTTTCCAATATGATATCAGTTTCATGATGTTATTGTAGCAGCAGAAAAGAAAAAGTCAAGTTACTTTTAAAGCACCTTGATAAAGATATCTTGTTGGTAGGCACAAGAAAGTGGGGGCATTCTACTGTAGGCCTTAGATGTTATCAAATGACATTCCTAGCTTTTGCAGAGGAAGAAGATAAGTCTATACATTCCAAAAAGGATCTTACCTGATAGTCTAAAGGTAAGCAAAGTATGCCTATTGAGAAGGTCGAAGGTGGACAAAGATAATTTGCTTCTGGACCTGTAATATGCTCTATAATAATTTAAATTCTAATCAGTTAATTAGCTTTGTAGAATTGTTAACACAGGTATGCCCTTCCCTAGAACTGCACGTCACAGCTCTGTGAGAAAAAGGCCCATTGTAATGCTTTTGTTATTATGTGTCCAGGGTTTGAGGAAGTAAGTGGTGAATATACTTTCTTTTAGCCAAGGCTGGTACTACAAGACTATTAAATCCAGACAGGTGTAGAAAGAGGTTCGAGTTTAAGTTCTGTCTCCTAGGCAGAACAAGGAAGGCCAAGGCAATAATGGATTAATTGAAAGCCAAAATAATTCAAAAGACTATGGGTATAGCTTGGGGTAGACCACATAGGTTCAATCCCTGCCACCACAAGTGGAAAACTTTTCTTGCAATATCACAGACTTCCAGAAATGAGATGAATGGGAAATCAAAGCCACAAACCCATCAGATTTTTTATGTAAATCCTGGGACATTCAGTGGTTTGGAGTGAATCAATAATCACCTGACCCCACCTTGGGATGTATTCTGACTACATCCTGAAATGGATTCTTAAGGACTCAATGAATCTGAGTCACAAGGGTAGGAAGCTATTTCTAGGGAAGGCTAGAGTGGGTGGTAAGGACATAATTAATCCTTTTGTTGACCTGCAAAACTGTCTCCTGTAGATTATGTAGTGATGAATTTACAAATGAGGACATTTTAACATTGGTGAGAAAAGAACATTCAGTCTGTTGAGCGCCTTTCAACACACATAGGAATGTACCCACAAGTTGTGGGGAGTAAGTGAGCATATCATGGGTTAAAGAGGCATGCTACCTAAACCAAAACAATCCCTATAATCAGTGGCAGTTGCAGCAAAGGGATTATAATGGTCTGTTCTGTCCCTTTAAGAGGTAAATCCTCCCACCTACTCCTCCTCCCCCTTCAGCAGAGGCAAGCTGATCTGCTCCCAGTCTGAGCCCTTTCCTCTCTCCCCACCTTCCTCTCTTTCCTCATCTCCCTTCTCCCTGCCTCTCCCCTAACCATATCCAACCTCACTCTATATGGTGTGCCTGTCTTGGTTTCTGCCAAGAGGCTTCCTGCCTGGTATCTGCTGCCCATTGTGGCTCATGGGCCACTCGGGGTACAGCGCCATTTTTATCATTACACCCTAGAACAAGCCACTTGGATATCTCTAGCCTGTTTGCTCAGTGGGTAACAGCTACAGGAAAGTCCCTGTATTAACAGTGAAGATGGAAACTTTGGGCTTGAAAACGCCAGAACCTGTTCAGAGAGATAGCATTTATACTGGATTTCATGGTACCACTAGAGCTGAATGTATGGAGCACCCAACAACCCTAGAATGAGCAAGCTTGAAGCACAACGATCAGGCCCATGTCAGTCTTGAGTCACAGTCAGATTGTCTAAATACATAATTATATTCCCTAGCTGCACCCATTTGGTATCTCATATTTTGATTAACTAGTATTTTAACAAAGCAAAACGTTACTTGACTACCGAAAACTTAGAATATGCCTAAAAAACATCGATATTCTTTCAAGGTTACATTAAGATACTATCAGGTTCATTTTAAGACTGTCTTTCAATATGCACATAATTTTCTTTAAATTATTTACTACCAGTTAGGCCCTAGAGTCCATAAAGTCACACACACAAACACACACACGCACACACACACACACACACAAACTTTGCATCAGCTTGTTCTTGGTTAATTACTGGATTTATTTTTTTTTTAAGTCTTACTATAGCCCAGGATGTCCTCCAAATTAACATCCTCCTGCCTCAGATTCTTGAGTTCTGGGGTTAGAAAGTGTGGGTCAATACCTGGCTAAATAAATATTTGACAATTGCTCACTGTATCCAAACATAAAATGTTTTATTATTGTTTTTGAGACAGAGTCTCATGTAGCCCAAGCTTGCTTTGATCTCCTAATCCTCGTACCCCCATCCACCATCCCCATGAAAGGATTACAGGCTTACATTACCAAGTCCAGGGAGTTAAATTTTTGAACTTGTAAAAATTACATGACACCAAGAATCTCTTGCTGAGAAAATAAAACTAACCAACTAGCCAGCCAAACCCCAAATCTTTCCCACAAAGCATAAAAATTCCTCACAAGTATGAGGCAGTGACCAAAAAACAGTGTGGCTATTAGACTTTAAGGGGTAGTCTGCGAGGTGAATTTCTCTGTTTCATAGGCTCCCCCATGGGAACTGGGCAGGTTTGCTTCCCTCCCTGTCTGGCCTGATAGACTGAATCCTAAAACTATGCTGAAGTCAGTCACATCTTCCTTTAGTTGTTTCTCAGGTATTGGATCACAGCTACACAAAGTAACTAATACAATAACCATTGACACAAAGTTCTCAACTCCCTATGTTTTTTTAGTGATCTTTCCTCACACTCTCAAAGAATCTGAGAAAGTGTTTTTTTTTTTAACTAAAAGCCACTACTTAAAGGGATCTAAATAACAAACATAGTATTTTCAATCTGCTCATAAAGCTGCGAATGTAGGCACAACATACGAGCATTCTCTTACACAGTTTCCTTCTTCCCAGGATCCCCTGGTTTAAATATACTTCCTACTTAGCCAGATGTTTGGATCAAAGAAATCAACTGGCTATATTCAGGCTAGTGAATGAATTTCTTTAGGAAACAAGAAATTTTTTTCTAAGAATCTAACAATGAGCTGACTTTTCCCCTGTACAAAGAAATACAAGAACTATTAGACTTGGGTATCATAGCTGCCATGTGGGGAAAAAAAATAGGAGTCAGGTTCAATGGGAAATTAAGAAAGAGAGGCAGAAGTCCTGGTTCTGCACAACCTTCCAGTATGTAGTCTGTGAGCTGCAGAACTGAGCTGTTTCTTACCTTGGGCTCTATGAGCCTCCACGATATCACCACTGTAAAATTGCTGTTAGCTTACCTGGGTTCTTAGCACTGACAACCACAGAGGCTATTAAATTACACTCCATCTTCAAAAGAAAACACAGGCTACACTTCATATTGGAAAAGTATTTATTATGACAAAAATAAAACTGTGGACTGAAAACAAATAGATGTTATGCTATATTGCACCATGATTGCAAATGAGCCAAAACCTGCCTAAAAGTTAACATTCCAGAGCAAGCCGCACCTTTGTACTTGGGTAAGTTGGCATGCACACAATACATTAGAACATAATTGCAAAAATAAAAAATCATGACCATGACCTAATATATAAAAGATAACATTTCGTGATAGTGAAAAGTATTAAAATTCAAAACCCATGTCTTTTCAACAACCTCACAATCAAACAAGCTTGGAACCACTCGTGGGGAGTGATGGTGTGAAACGCATTTGGCATTTGCTTTTACACTTTCTTGGTTATCACTTAAGTATTAGAGCAATTGCACACACTTAGGTTGCTTGCTGAGGGTTCAGAAGCAGTATGTGACATGGGCGATATCATTTCCTCCTGTATAAACACCAGAGGACCCACAAAGAGATGGGACCCTACCTTGATCTTATTAATTCTATCTTCTATTGGACCAAACTGCTTGGCAAAGATATTGTCAGAACACTTGCACAAAGCCTGAGATGCAACCGATAACAATTTCTATTTAAATCTTATGAAATGAACATATATGTACATTTAAAGAGTTTTGCAGTCTGAGCTAGAAGTATGAGTACAGGGTCTACTTTCTCTTTAATGTTATATAAAGCACCAAGTTATGTGTGGAGACGACAATGTGTAATTACAATCATTACACTCCCATTAGAATAGACAGGACAGCAGGGCTATAACAGCCAGGAATTTGCTTTTCTTATTTTAAACTACATCTGCAGAACAGTCAAAATGGGGAAAGAGAAAACTTTCTCATAATTGGAAAAGCCATAGCCATCATTTTATTTTACAATTTCAGTGGAACAGCAGCTAAGCTTTTTTCAAAACCATGATGAAAACTGTTCGCGACTAGACTGAAAGTTTCCTCCCAGAGAATCAACAGGGCTCCAAGGAGTCCCTGAATTTCCTGAGGGAAATTATACGTGAAAATGACTAGTTTCTCATTACTCCAACTAAAACACGCCCATAAGTCATGAACTCCTGAGATCAAGCGGTGGTCATCTGCTGTCCGAACACACTGATAGCCAGAGTCGATCATCACTGATCAAATGACAGGACTTTCCTGTCCCTAACTGATTCACCATCTGGTGAGCGCTAGCTCACGTGCTCACCCTGCTGCTGGGACACAAAGAACTAAACAACAGCCCCACCTTAGCACTTGCTTCAGCTGGGAACTCTGCACATTCCAAGACATTTGGGGGAAGGGAATTTATGGCACTGCACGATACCCCAGACACTTAAAGCACCTTGTGGACTGAAAAAAATGAGGTAATTTTTAAAATTAAAATTTGATAAGTTGTGCAAGAAAACATTTCATTCTTTTAGACATTTCATTTTCTATACTCAGTCTATATATAGCACATATTGTTATTTCTCCATTTCAGGAGAAAATGCAGAGAATTAGTTTTTAAAAAAAATCAAGATGCGCCTGTGTGATTAGCGTTCCAGATTCTAACCCAGAATGATAACTGCTCTCAGGTTTTCCAGCCATAATACAAGCAATTAGAGTAGTTCTTCTCCCATGCTGCCAGAATTAAACACAAAGAAGGAAAAAAAAAATCACATTCATATTTTCTTACCTAATTTTAGTTGATTTTTACCACACAAAGCTTGCCTAATTTTGAATTTGTTTATTTAGCTTTGGTCACCTAGAATCCTTAAAATATACTTTGCTTTCAAAACATGGCTCCTGGTGTCAGTCTTCACACTCTATTGAGTGACTAAAGATGACATTTGAAAACTGGTGACCTTCAACACAAGCCATTTTCACGCCTCAGTGGACTTGAGCCTGCCACAAGGGAAAGCCCAGGTGTTTGAGATGCCTTAAGGCAAGAAACAGAACAAGGGAGGAAGTGAAACCACTAGTGGGAACTGAACAAGGAACAAAACGACTTAAACGTGGTACCGCAAGCATTTCCCTACTATTTTAGATTTAAAAAAATAGTAATAGCGTGTAAGGCTTTAGAATATGAAAAACATTGAGACTTAGTTTACTTAAAAGCTCCTCAGTTTGGGAAGAACAAAAATAAGTGGCTAGATTAAGATCAGAATCCATTTCTTTAGATAGTCAGTGCAATGTTTGGCTAGATACAAGACAAGAAGCTGTATCTTGAGGTGACCCACTGACAGAAGAGTAAAGGACCTTTAAAACTAAAGTTTGGGTGTGTGGGGATTTTGTTCCAAAACCACAGATAAAAAGTTAACTCATAAACTTCACCAGGTAGAGGAACAATCCCTGTGTTTTTACAGGGTGAAGGATTAAATGAATGCTCTTGGAAACAATTCTGCTTCTAATCTGTTCTGAGATACAGCATCAAAGACTTAAAAAGTTTTATTTTCTTCAAAGATTCCTTCATGGCGGACTTGGTAGATCAAAGACCATTATTTATAGCATTGTCTGTACCCTTCCTTGTTCCACAGGAAAATAACTGTTTTCTTTTTACGCTACAATGAAAGTTAAATTATATTTAATTAAAATACCAATGGCAATCCTGGCACTGAGGATGCAGAGGCAGGAGCTATTACAAAGGGAGTTATTTAAATCTGCTTTTAAAAGAATGAAATGAATATATATTTTCTCTAGTGAATATGGAATAAAAGTATTATCCCTTTAAGAATGTTAACACAAGACCCTAAAGAGCAAACGTTACATATTCAATCCTCAGTTTTCAATAGATTATATATAATATATATTAATATTTCTGGTTTTAAGAAATAAAATCACATTAAGAATAAAAATATTTAGTGCATTCCCCTACAAAAGCGAGTGCTACTTCTAAAGGGATTCTCAATGTGCTTCTGGGTGAAGACGACATGCTCAGGTAAGAAAGTGGCACAATTCATTTGCAAGGGTAGTGGAGTTTTGTTTGTTTGTTTTTGCACTTTTGGCAGTAACATATTGAATAGATTCTAGATAAACTTAATTCCTCCATTTGTGAATTAAAAAATATAAGGTGTAAAGCAGGTATGGGAGGTTTTTGTACAATACAAACTCTGTCAAATAACATGAGGAGACAAAGGAGAACAAGACTCACATCACCCGCTCCATCTCATCAGCTGTTAATGTGACCCCTAAAGAACAGAGTAAAAAACTGAGAACTCATCTCAAAGGAACAAAGGCACCATCACAAATTTACATTTTTCATCAAGTAATATTTTACAACCATTTGATTTACAGTGAACATTCAAGTCAAATGCTTAGCATCACACACGTGCTTGGGTCCAAGTATTCTCTTGGAGTAAAGGACTAGTTTCCTGCTGCTGTAAATGGGACTTCCTAATGGACCCTATCCCAGTCAATGGCACGATGGCTACTTGAACACTGGTTTCATATTTAGATGGCTAACAAACATTGCTTCGAATTCAAACTAATCAGATGCTTTTAAAAAAGGATTTAGAAGTAAAATAAACTGTACGTTTAACAAACAGCAAATCTGCATCTATATTAGTAGCTGTTTGGCAAAATACAATAAACTATTAAAAACACTTTCAATATAATGCTGACATGGTAGTATAAAAATAACCATATTATCTGATAGAAGAAAACTGAACCAGCCAATCTCATTAGATACAAGAAGGCAAATAATTATTTTAAAGGAAGAAATATGGGGGCGGTAAATATACTTCGTCTCAAGACAGGTTTAAGAGAATTTTTTTGTATTCATGGTAGACAACATAGTGAAGTGAAGTTCAGGCAAAGTGTGCTTTAGGTAATTGGTATTTTCTTAGTCCCCCCCAGCAACAAACACCACCCACAATGATTTATATCTGTTTTTTTCTTTCACCTTTGATTATGAGTTATATTTAAAACACACAAGAAAATTAAACTTATCCTCTACTTGACACAGAATCACTAAGAGAAGATTCAAAGTTTAAACAATTTCCCACAGCCCAGAAAACTTTTCCTCTGGCCACTTTCTCAGATCAAGGGTGCAAACACTAAATAAAAATATCAAGTTCAACAAAATTAACTAAACGAAACAAGCGAGTACACCTGAAAAGAGAGAAAAATTTAAGGCAACTTACATACAAAAACCTGAAATCAAAATACCAATTTTGAGCAGGTATTTAAGAACACTGAAGCTGATTTTGATCCAAATAAAAAATACTGCAAATGAGGAATTACCCCCAAGTACACATTACATCCTTTCCACAGAGCTCCACACAGCAAATGACCCTTGTCCTCCTTTTTCATCCGAGACAACGGCCTTGGGAACCATCGATACCGTCCAGTAGGCCTCTTCCTTTCATTTTTGGAACCAATAAAAGCATTTATTTTGCTAAGATTATGACAGCCTGTTCTACCTAGTGGGTTCCAGGCCAAGAACTTCTTAGAAAAAGCCTGTCTCCAAAAAAAAAAAAAAAAAAAGAAGAAGAAGAAGAAGAAGAACTGTCCGAAGCCTCTTTCCCATCATCTTCAGCCAGATTTAAAGAAAAACCATGTTATTTTGCCTTTCAGTAACATACTGCTGGTGATAAAGGTACTCTGAGAGATACTACTACACACCTAATAAATAAAAAGGATTATTCAAACTCTGCCTGCTGCCCAAAGCAGGTACGAGATCTCTGACAGAATAGCTGAAGATTTGTTGACAATAAAACAGGCAGCAAACTGATGAAAAACATATTCCAAGAGTCCATACATAGCTTAATTCCATGTTGGTGTGTTTTACTAAATTCTGACAGTTATAAACACAGCAAAAAATCTTAAGCTATCAAATGAAGCCAATAATATTTACCATTGAAGCTGGCTTTCCAATTCATGCTTCACCGTATGTTTTTAACGAAATATTATTAGCAGAAAAATGAACTTAATTCGTTACATAAATAAATGGACTACTTAATTCCCATGCAAAGAGAAACTTAAAATTAAACTATGATATGCAATGAGGTGAGGGAAGTTTAAAGACTAGTATTCCTGATGTTTGCACGCATACACAGCTTCTAGGTAGATTTTCATCATAAGTAATTCTGTCCGGAAGATGAAAAGGGTTCGCAGAGAACAAATGCTTAGTGCTGGAGGAGTAGTCCATGACGATTCCTACCATGGCTCTGTCAAATCCTAAGTACCTGGGAAGGAGGGAGTGGTGCCCAAGAAGTGAAAGAAACGGTTGTAAAGGACATTAACAATACTTGGGATAACATGAAATATATGACGAACAGTTTTTACAAGGCAGTCACCGAATAGTTAGAACAGGCAGTCAGAAGAGCTCTGTTGCTGCAAACTTAGTTATACATTATGCTCATCCGACTGAAGATTAGTGCATCTGAAACAAAGGTAAGAAAACATCTTTATGTTCCAGGCCAGCGGCACTTGATTCAAGTGTTGCTCAGAGGTTTGTGTTGTTATAAATTAAACATGCTGCTGCCTCAGCAGCCAAAGGTGTTAGGAAAAATGTTCATGTCACGGAATAAATGGAGAAGTCTTTTTCAGGCAAAAAATTATCTCACACCAATCCTGGAGGTCATCCACTCTAGACCTTGGCATAACCTAAACAAAAGACAGAAGTATTTTAGAAATTAGAAACTTTCTGTTGAAAGGTTGAAGCCATACTTACCTAAACGTTCATGTTACAGTCAAAAGTTAAGGATATTGGTGACAACTTTTTACCCCCTTCCCCCAAGGAACAGGGTCTCATGCAGCACAAGTTAACCTCAAATCCTCTATGCAGAAAGTATGAACTTAATCTCCTGATCCTGCTGCCTCTACCCTGCCTACAAAGGCTGCGATCGCAAACATACACCACCCTGTATATGCAGTAATGGGGACAGCAGCCAGGGATTTATGCATGCTGTGTGAGCAGTCTAGCAACTGAGCCAGATCCCTAGTGTCCATCAGAGACAGATTTCAAATAATGCCCTAAGTGAAATTTTAATGGAAAAGTCACTTAAACAAAATGATCTTGACCATTCAAACAAAGTGGCAAACTGCTCTGGTCTTATGCCAAGTTTATCCAGTTTTTCCACCAAGATTGAAAATACCACACCCATTCTCCCCATTTAAAATGAGCTGAACCCACTATAAAAACACCAAAACCTTCTCCTTATTCACCCAATTTCTAAAGTTTCTAAAATTTCTAAAAACCTAGCTATTGCATTGCAAAGAATTAAAAAAAAATATAAAGAATATAAGAAAAACTAAGCAATAAGGTTGATATGAGGACCGTTGGCATAAATAGGTAAAAACACTACTACGACACCCCCACTTCTTCTTAGCACCCTCTACAATCACGCTCACAGGAAAGCAAGAATAGACTATAGTGGCTTTTGTCAAATGTTTCTTCTCTAGAAGGACGCCTCCTGAAAGGACTCTTGATAATACAGGAGATACATTCTTGAAGAAAACTCTCCTTTCAGAAAACGTGTAATTTCTTTAAAGCTTTCTCTTTAATTTGGGTGGCCTCACAGTTTTTGCTTAGTAAGTAAATGATGAAGGCCACAGATGTGCAAAAAACCCAACTTCTAAACATTTAATTCCAAAGCTGCTTATGCCTTTGAAAATACTGCATTTATGTTAAAAAAAAATAATATGAAGAACTTGCTGGTAAATTGTTCACTGGAATTATTTCCAACGTCTAAGCCTGAGAAACAATATAAAAACCATTTTTAAGAAAAGCAATAAAAGGTGTGAGGACAAGGACGTAAAGCTGTCCTAGCACTATGGAAGGACCTTGGGAGTTCCCGGATCCCACCTACCCTTCTCCTGTTAGCGCACAGCATGACTGGATGTGCCACGGGTGGTCCTTGATTGAACTAAGGGTGAGGTATTTGGAGATCTCGGCTGCCGTCATACACCCTTTCATATCCTGCTTATTTGCAAAGATGAGAACTGCAGCTTTCCTTAAATCCTGTAATTGACACAAAATACTGAAATAGCAAACCTGTGCTGTGCACAATCACAAATCAGATTTATATGTCAACTACCATAACCAAATTAAACTCTGAAGTGAGAGCATAAAATAAAGACCTCTATTTTCCAAAAAATTCTTATACTAACATTTAATTTTAAAATAATCACATTTTAATGCTTATCCTAATAAAGTATAATTACTTTTTCTATTTTTGGATAAAAATGGTCAGACTGATAAGAAAATAAACACTCTACATGTGTGATACGCTATGCAGGTGAGAGTGATAAACTTATTAGCCTTTACAGAACTTTAACCTCACTAGTAGTGGTCACTGTGGCTTTGGTGTTTTTTTTTTTTATAATTAAAACAATATGACATAACCTGCCAAACTAGATCAACTGTGACATACACAGGGAAGTAGTGTCACTCTCAAAGTCATGAACTTCAGCTATGTGCACAGTTTTTGGCAGTGCACATTATTAACATAGTTAAATCTCCTGTTTACAGTGCCGGGGCAGGTGAAAGCCACTATGGTGGACTGTGGCGTTCCCTCAAAAACAACTAGAAATAGAACGCCGAATGACCCAGTTATACCATTACTGGGTCACCTCAAGAACTCTTAAGCCAACAGGCCACATAGATACATGCACATCCACGTTTATTGTTGCACGAATCATTAGAAGCCTACAACAGAAGTGCTCTAGACGTCTGTTAGCAAAAGAACAGAGAAATGTGGTATATAAACAATAAAAATCTTCAGCAATGAAGAAAAATGAAATATGACATTTTAAGGAATGTGGATGGAATTAAAGAACATTATGTTAAAAGAAATAAGCCAGACTAAGAAAGACAAGCATTTTTCTCTCATATATGCATCTATTTCTAAATTTAGTTTGTGTGTGTACACAGGAGCATAGTGGTCATCAAAGTAGTAAAGAGCATGGTACGGGGAGACCTCCGGGGAGAAGAAAGGGGGACAAGAACAATAAAGTGATGGAATTAGTGTGGTCTGAAAGCAGACAGGACTATTTGGAGAGCAGTAATGGGACCAGCAAGGGCGCACAAGGGCACAGAACCAACTGATGGACTCATGGGGGCTCACAGAGATCAGGGGGACTGTAGCATCTGGCCTAGGTCCTCTACATATATGTTATGGCTGAGTAGCTTGGAGTTCCCCACAGTGGGAGTGGGGGCTGTCTCTGATCCTTTTGCCTATTTGTGGGGTTCTTTTCTTCCCCCTAGGCTGTCTCATCCACCCTTGACGTGATGGTATGTGTCTAATCTTATTGGAGCATGTTATGCTGTGTTTGGTCGATGTCCCAGGAAGTGGGCTCTTTTTGAAGAGATAAGGGTAGATCTGGGGAGAAGAGGAGGTGAGGAGAAAGACTGAGGGAGGGGAAACTGCAGTCAGTAAATAATATAAGAAAGAAAAAAAGGCTTAACGGCAAAAAAGGCTTAACGGCACATGCCTTTAACGCCATCACTCCTGAGATAGAGGCAGGCAGATTTCTGTGAGTTCAAGGCCAGACTGGTTTACAGAGCTAGTTTCAAGACAGCCAAGGCTGATAGACAACCTTGAAAAAAAAAAAAAGAAAAGAAAAGGGGGAGACAAGGGCTGGTGAAGGCAGGCAGAGACACACTGTATGAAAATACCATTAAATACCATGTGTATGTCAATTTACAAAATCAACTTTAACACACAAACATGAAAAAAAGTGCAAGTTACCAAAGATAACACGGAATTTAGTATTTTACACATATGCACAGGAATAACAATTACTACATTTAGATTCGAGACACATCTGAGACAGAAAGCAAACCATACTGGAAGATCCCACAATGCACTTCACACCTTATGCTAAATAGCATGTGCAAGAATATGTTTCATTGTCACTTTTTTATAGCTCAAATATTTATAATCAAACTACCTCAAATCATTCATTAAAGTTATTATAAACTTCTGGCTGAAAGACATTTAAGTTTTGCCCCCCCACACTCCTAATCTCAGCATATCAATTTTTTAAGAGCAGGAATCAATAGTTTTAATGCTGAAAAACAAACAGCTTTTAATAATCGTATCAAACAAATTATCAGGATTGAAAATATGTGATTTTTGACACAGCTTAATATAGAAAGTTCTGCTTATGATAAAATGGCCAACACTGTTTCACATTAATCTTTACATAAAACAAAACCAGGACACATATAACTTATTCCATGTTTTAGAGGTTTGCTTTCAAAATTTACCTCATGAGCCAACATTCTGTATAACTCTTCTTTTGTAATAGCCAGCCGTTCCCTGTCAATGCTATCGACCACAAGAATGATGAACTAGAAGGCAATTTTAAGATAAAGGAAGAAAATTAGTGGCTTGTTGAGTCTTTTGCAAAGTCACTGCAGTGACATTAGCTCTCACTGGGCATCATCACTGCTCCACAGCACCAGGGCTTTTCCACCAGAAAGAGCTTGACACAGAAGCATAGCAGGTAGGAAAGTCAGATGGTAGCACGAACGCAACACCTAACCTCCTAAAGCTCCTGACTGTGGGTAATAAGAAGTAATGTTTACAGCAAAACAAGAATTTAATACTCTCTCATTAAACTTCAAAGCCTTCATTCTACAATTCATTACACCAATAAGGATCAAATGACCCCTTTACAGGGGTCCCATGTCAGATATCCTGCATATAAGATATTTATATTACAATTAACAACAGTAGCAAAATTGCAGCTTTGAAATAGGAATGAAATAATTTGGTTGGGGTTCACCATAACATAAGAACTGTATTGAAGGGCTGCAGCATTAGGAGGGTTGAACTTTAGACAATAATTGATTACTTATGTATATATAAAGTCTTTTGCCTATTAATTAAAAGAGTTAATTTCAGAGAAAAAGTGTTTTTCAAAAATAATGAATAAGGTATTTTTTTACAGAAGGAATTTCAGCAATAAAAGCTCAAGAAGAAAGCATGCTGAACTGTGCCAAGTTGCATGTGCTGACGTTACTATGCTAAAAGGCAGGTGGTATTAGAAAAGACAAGGAAAACTGGAGAATCTCTGCATATGTGCCTTTGTGTTGGGGTAGGGTAGGAGATAGGAGTGTGTGTGTGTGTGTGTCTAAAGTAAGTCTTAAACATTAAGAATACAAGCAAATGAAAAACTAAATAAAAACAACTTTGTTAAGTACATACAAGAAAATAGTGAAATGGAGCTACTAAACCAAACAGTGTATAAAAGAAAGGGCTAAAAACTCAGGGGTAAATAATGTCATCCCTCATATAGAATAGGAGTAATATAAATGAAGTTACAATAGAGGCTGGAATCAACTTACAGGATAACCAACTACAGTGTAAGTTCAATGCATACTACAAGAAAGGGGAGCATGGCAAAGAATGGGCAGAATATCGGGAAGTAACTGGATTAATGGGAGGAAGCTATCAGGAATTAATGCCCGGAGCTCCTTACATTACAAAGGAGATGCTCACTTTGGGAGGCCATATCAAAGTAAAGGCTTTCCTCAGAGCACGATTACGAGGGAGGACAAAGTGACGAGTGAAGCAGCTCTTCATAAAATCTCCTCCTGGAATCCAAGGCTGAAGTGTAATGGACCGTGCAGGTGTGTTGCAATAAATTCTTTGTGGTAACTGAGATATACTTGTAGAAATAGTTTACAAAGAGAGCATGTAATACTAATAGCATGAGTAATAAGACACCTCTAAACCGAGGGTAAGCCTAGATTGTCAGCAATTTCAAAAACTACCCCTCTGAGGTGCTGTAAGCGCACTTGGTCCAGCCTGAACCATCTCATCCTATTTGTGTGTAAGAACTGCCTTTCTTCACCGCTGGGGTCAACTGCAAGTGTACTTCTGCCACCTGAGCATATTAAAACACTGTTATTCTCCCAGTAGTATGTTACTGTTCAAAAGCATATTCCGCTGCCTTATAACCATATTTGCTCACCAACCACTTCTGTGCTGCTCAACCCCAGTGAAGAAGAGAACCCAGTGCATTTAATGTCTGCAGACTCACAACATGCCACTCTGGTTCATGCACTACACTGGAATACCACACAGAAAACAAAGTGGTTTGTTCTATTTTATTTTAAAAGGCAACGTGTGCATCAAAAATTCTTTGTGTTATACTCTTTCAGCTCCATTTTATAAAATGTCACTTTAGAAAACACGATTTCTTAGCTGTCCCTCCTTACAAAGAAAGCTTACATGTGTAACTGAACAACATTATTCTAAATGATAAAACTAAACATGGCATTATGAGAAAGAAAGTCACCCCTAGACAAACAACCAAGCACAAATGAAGACAATACAGTATAGTCCCTAAGCTAATGCTGAAGGAATGAGTGATAATAAGAAAACAACAGAAACTGCTCCACTCTGAAGCTCTGCACACAAACTCTCTACAGAATTTTCCCATGCACTGCCCTCTCGGGACCCGTCAGTGGCCAACACATTCATCTCTATAGATGCTCACCACGCTCCTTAGTCTATCCTGTCCAGGTCTACATGATTTCTAATACAATTATGTGTGCAACAGAACACTGGGAACCCAGCCTCTTGTGCAATGTAAGTTTGCAAGTGTTAATATATTCAGTGGCTTCTCTGGACTAACTCCTCTACTTACTTTTAACATAAGCAATTTCTTCCCATACTCAAAATACTCAATAAATATACAACAAAAAATTCTATGTCCTTTGCCTTTTTCTATGCCAGAGGAAGAAAGTATAAAAGCCTTTAAAATGATAGTGATGGCCTGCAAGCCTATCTTTCACACTAATTACATCTGAAAATCTGGGTTGTTATTTGAACCTCATCAGGTGCTCATGTGGCAAGACTCATTATTCAGCCAGTGTCACATTTGTCCAGTCCATGGAGCACTGACAGTGCCACTGTAAGGATGGTCTGGGCCAGCCAGAGTAAGCCCTCAGCTGAGAAGGATCTTGGCCAGGCATGGTGCTGCACACCTACGATGCCAGTCCTTAGGAGGCAGAGAATCAAGAGGATCCATGTAAGCGACCTCCAGGCCAGCCTGAGCTGCACAGCAAGTTCTGCCAGCCAGGCACATTTTGCATGTATATAACCTATTGGCTTTAGTAAAGTAGGTTTATATTTCAATGTTTTCACTGACTATTCTGCCCCTCGTAGGGAAAAAACAATGCAAGTACCCTCTTGAATCTTATCCTCAAATCTCCTCAGAACAAGTCTCAGCAGTAAGACACCACTGTGAACAGAACAAACTCCTTAGGACTCCTACTTGCCTTTCCCTCCATGAGGAAATCTCAATTCCTTATTAAAGGCAACTGCTAATATGCTTCTTTACAGCCTAGCCATCTCCTATGCTGACTCTTACAAAATTTTTTTAAATTAAAATTCCAAGGTAATTTTGGCATACCTCTGTGTTTGAATAATAGGTGTTCCAGGACGAGCGCAGAGACTCTTGACCCCCAATGTCCCACATGAGAAAATGAGTGTTCTTCACAACTATCTCTTCGACATTGCTTCCTATGGTTGGAGAAGTATGAACTACTTCATTCATTAAGCTGTTGAAAGATAACATTGAAAACTCTGTAAATCTTGAGAACCCCAAGCACATTTCATCTCTTTGTTAAGAGAAGTCAACCTTCCCTACTTATAACAATCATAATAATCGCTAACACAAGAAAGAGAAGCTTGGAGAGTTCCTGCACAAATAAAGACATAAACACAGCACAACCCCTAAATACTATTGTCTCCTTTTTAATGAGATGAACTGCAGGCCTGACACAAAGAGATGGGAACACATTGGTGTGGGTTTGAATGTCTATGGGCAAAATACCAAAATGACCAGTTATTGAATCAGAACCAATGTTCCATACTGAAAGAGCAATTTCTGGATAACTGTGACAACAATACTTGCAAAGTAGCAATAACTCAGTAATATCCTATGCATCATTTTTGCTGAATGTCTATGTAAGCACAGTGAGAGTTAATACAGCCATAAAAACAAGTTTAGGCTCACCAACCTATAATCTTAAGGTCACGGACAAATAGAAATCGTACTTAAAATGAACTATATTTAGGATATTGATTATCATATCACTTGCATTCTTATTGACTGCTTAAACACTTCATTTAAAATGTATAAACTGGCTGATAACATTCCATGATAACATGTATTTGAAGACACTTATAATTTTCTCTTAAGTTTACATGTTATGTGTTTAACAATGTGCACAACATTGTTATCAAAGAAAAGCTTCAGAAATAATTGAGATTTATATTAAAGGCTAAATGATATTAAAATACATTTTGGCTAATGAATAAAAATATACTAAAGGAAAGTAACAATTCAACTCTGAAATAATAACAAAAGAAGCCACCTGTTAGCAAATGTGTTAGTTAGACATTTGGAAAGTGAGCACCTCTGGCAACTGAAGGCTAACAATACTGCTTTCTTTCCACCCTCTTCTTTTGCAAGCAGGGCCAGGAATTTTAGCTCAGTGTCTCATAGGGAACTGCTCTGCTGAGCTATAACCCAGCCCTAAACCAGGGGGATTTAAATGCAAGATGAGGGAGGGAGGGATGAGATTCACATAACAGTGCCAAGTACAGTGTGACTGTTTGTTAAAATGTTCCAGGTATGTAAATCATGACAAACCCTCGCCAGGGGATTCAGGAGGTGTTCATTACTGACAATGAGCTTAATGTACTTCTGAGAATTTCAAGCCTGTCTCTGAAAGCTCCTAGAGTAGCATTTTGACCGCCATCATTTCAGACGAGTCTGGTTCTGTTAAACAATCCCAAAGCTCTTAGGGGAGAGCAGCTTCCCAGAGACAGCACTCTATTGATGCACGGCTCCTGAGGGAGCATTACACAAGAGTCATCTCATCACCTCACCCCAGGATAGGCTGCACTTCATTTTGGTTTAATATTAAAGCCCATTCTTCCTTGGGAAGTCACAGAGAGAATACTTGCTGAAGGCTTTAGTAAGTCTAGGACATTTTATTTTACTTTTTTATTTGGTAAAATAAAAAAAGTTACATGTCTGACTATTGCATTATTAAAACTGGGAAGAAAGGCATCTCATTACTCAGCAAAGGTTTTCAGGAACTGTTAAGTAGGCACCAATACTTACAACTGATAAAGAATGGTGGTCTTCCCTGCATTATCCAGTCCCACAATGATTACTTTGTGCTCTACAAGAAAAGAAAAGAAAACAAGCCATGAACATTTACACTACTGCTCGCACGCTACAGCACAAGCTTCCCACAGTGGTGATTTTAACCCAGAGGTGCTTAGTTCACCTGTTAAGCACCCACTACTGGAAAACCATGGGAGGAAACTTTCCGCAGTAAGGACCTGCCGTGAGGGACACAATCCACTCCGCGTTTTCTATGGCGTTCTCCTGTTAACATGTTTAGACTGGTTAGGTAGAAACAGAGACTTTTAGTCACTCCTGAGTGGAGGCTGGGTCCTCAGATAAACACCTGACATCATGACGTAAACTGTGAGTGTAAAGCGCTGGCTCTCCATGCCTGCTCAAGGTCTGCTCTGCAAATCAGCGCTAAGTGATTTAACGTGAGGAAATTTCCCACTCACATGTACTAACATTTCCGCCTTTCATTTAAAAATGACATTTGCTGCTGAAAACTGCAATGCTCTTTCCATTAGCAGATTTTTATTTTTACATTAATTGGCAGAAATAAAGGCAATTACTTAGCCTTCAATGGTTTTTATTGAAACATGTTTTATGTAATCATTCTAAGTAGGTATATCTGCTGACGCTGCCCAACAAAAGCCTTTCCCCTCTGATGACAGGCACTAAATAACCATTTTGTTATAGGCAGTTATTAGGCTTAATTATTCTGTTAAATGGTACATATTTTGAAATCTGCTTTGAATATGTGATTTTAAAAAAACCCAAATTTATTCAGAGTACGTTCAAAATTGCCCTCTCTTGGTGCACAAGGGGATTCAATAAGCCCCCACTCCTAGTGAGAAGCCACTGATAGCTGAAGACTCCTGGGGAAATGGAGATTCAGTTTCCTTAAGGGTGTGGATCCAGGTAGTCAACGTGCCATGACTAAGATTGTGTGAGCACAACAGAAAGGGCTTGGTAGGTGTGTGTGGGGGGGGGGGGGGGGCAGAAAGACAGAAAGACAAAGAGGGAAGTAGCAAGGGGGAAGGGAAGAAGGAGGTGAGGGGGAAATGAGAAGGCAGAAGGTGGGGGAAGAAGAAAAAGAGGACACAATGCTGGGAGGGAGTTGCGGGGATCTGAGAGGAATGAAGGGGAGGAGTTGGGGGAGGATTAGGATGTGACTATGACCAAAATACATTGCATGTATACATGTATGAAATTTTCAAAGCACAAAACAAACATTAAAAATTCCCGTCTCCAGCACAAAATGCTTAAGGAGCGCTACTGCTCCAGGGCTTGGGCAGGGCAGGGAGCGCCACAGGAACACGGGAGACAGGTGCTTCTCTCAGGAGCCTGGGACTCTTCTCCCAGAGTGCATCCCTGAGAGTGACCACCCTTCACCGCCATTGTCTCTTCCACTGGCCTTTGGGGACAGGTAGCTGTGGGACCCCAGGGTAGGGCTCTGGCTAAGGACTCCAGGGACAATTCCACTCTCACACCAGATTAGAAAATAGTTTAAAGGTTGATGATATCAGGTATGAACCAAGAATGTAGGCACTCGATTTAAACACCATTAAATGTGTAACAATCAGTCTAAGAGACAATGTAGTACCATTTGCTTAAAAGAAAAAAAAATGCTTCCTCTCTGATCCCCATCTTCGCTTTGACAAATTTTCTCACGTTTTCACAGAGACAAAAATGGCCCAAGAATGACGGTAGTGCTTCCCTAGCAAGAGCCTGGGACATCCTCAGACATCAGTAGGCCACCATATTAGCTTAGAGATATAAGAAACATTAAATAAATCTTTTTGTCAAATATTATAAAGCTTCTGTTTGTGACAAGGAACTCAAATCTTTTTATGCCCCTGCCCTTAACCTTACAAGACTTGTGTGCAGATTTGAACCCACTTCTCCTGTGCCCCCAAAGTAAAACCCTCTGTCTGCACAAAGGCCATGCGCTTGGATTAGTGGCAGACCCCTCCTCTTCAGTTCCTTGGCACCAAGTCTTCTAAAATTAGTTAATTCCAAAAGACATGGGGTCAGACCCAGCCAATAAGGAAAAGACAGACTTCCCCCACCCCTACCAGAAAAAAAAACCAAGTGCATGTCTCTGAGGGCTTGCCTTTAGGATTGCACCCTCTTGATCAAGAGTCAAGTTTTGCCGGTAAGTTTTGCCGGTAGAGGCACTTCAATTGGAGTGGTGGTCTCTTTCTTTAAGACCCCAAGCTTGCTTCTAACACAGAGCAGCAACAGATTAAAACAGTTGGTAGCCTGAGAAGAGAAGTATGTGATAATATCTAGCACCATGGAGATATGCTCGTACCTTAAGTGTAGCACTGACCTGTAAGCTTAGCACTCAGGAGGATCCTAAATGCAAGACCAGTATAAGCTACAGAAATAAGATGCTGCCCTAAAGTAAACAAAAGAAAGAGAAACGAGACAGCCTATATGAAGGCCAAAACTGGGAACATTTCACTTTAGAGCCCTGCTTCCAATAATAAGCTTTAATGAGTATCAAAATACTGCTAATACAGTTTTTAAAGCTTTAACAGTACATCCACCAACAAAAAGACAAAGCACAATCTGTGGGCAAATTGCGATGACAAACTTCTGTATTTATCAGTAAGAACTACTTGTAGTATATTACAGAACAAGTAGACAGTGGACAGGCTGTTTTCATTTCATAACAAAATGATTATAACTGACTTAACTTTCCTTCTGGGGCTATTGGCTTGAATTTCCTAGGTTGTAATGGAATGAACCGTGACGCACTCCACTGGTTTGTTGTTCCTTAAAGATAAGAGCAAGAACACTCTTTATCAGCAAAGGAACGAACAGATTGCTTGGCATTGGGCATTCTGAATATTTTTGACTGCCTAGCTCTAGAGACCTCAGTATGACTGCAGCAATGAGAAAAAGGCCACCGGAACAGCCAGACTTGGCTGCACAGAACCCCTGCTCGGGGATGAGAATGGGCAGTAGCACGAGATGTTGCACTGTTCAAACAACTTATGTGGGTAACTACAACTAATTCTTTATTGTACTATGGTGAGTGTTGTAGAATATTTGTATACTGTGAAGATACGTCTTTGCCAAAACACCTTCTGATTATATATATGTTTTTCAAGACAGGCTTTCTCTCTAATTGGTTTAATAGAGCTGAACAGTCAACAGCTAGGCAGGAGAAAATAGGCGGGAATTCTGGGGAGAGAGAGGAAGAAGAGGAATCTATGCTCAGGGATTTTGCCCACAAACTCAGAACAAGTAGGACATGCTGTACTGAGAAAAGATAAAAGTCATGTGGCAGGACATAGATGAATAAAAACAGGTTAGCTTCAGTTGTAAGAACTAGTTGGGGAAAGATGTACACTAAGGCCAAGTTTGCATAATTAATAATAAGCCTCCGCGTCACTATTTTGAAGGTAGTGATCCAAAGTTGGTCTGACTACAGGTGAGGATCCTAGTATTGAAAGTCTGATGTCTACACTCCTTTATAATGCATCATTTTGAAAGGTTGGTCTCCAGGTGCACCAAGGGAAAGAAGCTCTGGTGGTGGACAGGGATCAGACTTCAAGTTCAAACACTGGGGTTTTATCTTTCAGATACCCTTTCTTCACTTTATATGGAACTCTAGCAATTAAAACAAGGCTCACATGTTTAGCTCTTTCTTAGGATGAAGATGTGCACAATATCCTTCAGAGAAAGAGGCCTAACTACTCAGGAAAGCTCACCAACAACTTAGGTCTACACATACAAACACCAACAGAAAGGACTGTCCTTTGTACGGGCATGAAGTAGTGCAGTTTATTTTAGATCTTAGCTCTGAAGAGCTATCAAGACCATCTATACATCAAAAATGAAAGCAGGTTCAATGGCCAGCTACTAAAGGCCATGTTCACAAAGGCCAGTTGCCCTGTTACATAACTGCACCTCTCCCTCCAACTGTCGTGAATTTGTCAATGGCTAAACAATCCTTCCACACATACTAACTAGTGAAAGTTTTTCACTCAAAGAGCAGTGAGAAAAATGTATAAAGTAATGTGAATGCGTGTATATAGAATCTCCTTCTAAGGAAAAGCATAAACAAAAACAAACAACCCCTGAATGTACTGTCCCTATGCAATGCTTCAATGACGACGGCTTGAAGCTCCCTTAAGGGTCCCTTTGACAGAGTGGACCGTTTCCAATCAGAACAGTGGCAGAGCTACTTCTGTGTAGCACACCCCGTACTGTCATGTCTAAGAGGAACCCCAGGCTAGAAAAGACGACAGCTCTTGTGCTCTACTGCTGTCTTTCGATTGGGCAGAATCAATAGGCCACAGACAATCAACTGAACAGTGTAAGAGACACTTTCTGTGATGATGCTTAAGTGTTAATAATGTCCCTCATCTGTACCATAGAAAACAAATAAATGTCAAAAGGCATTTGACTATTCCTATTACTCAGCAGTGACTGTTAGCATCGTTGACCCAAGAAGTTAAAAAGGAAAAAACAAAAGAAAATAAAACCCTTTAAGAAGCTACTGAGATCAAGGTAGTATTGATTGCAAATGAGAAGAACTCCATCCCCAAAGACAAAACTGCTGCCAATCTGATGGGACATCGATGCCATTTAATGTACATTAATGTAATTTAATGTCATTTTGACCTCTACTTCACTTGACTTTAGATCTCAAGTTGTGCTGAGCCATTTAAAAACCCCAAACCCTATCTGACTCTCAAGCTATGGAGAGAAGGCCAGGGTTCTTTCTTCTATGTCCTCGAGCCCCTCTCAGGAAAACCAACCACGCAGCTCACTGTCGCCAACAGCCTAAATTTATTATTTAAAACAGGTTTTGCAATATCCAATGGACCCATTAGCCATTTTAAGAAGCATTATTAAATTCGACTTGCTGTCACAGAACACAAGGTCACACACTGCAGTCTGCATCTGTGAAATGCTGGGAAGAGCAGCAGGACTGTGAAGGACCAGCCTGGTCCGGGCACACAGTAAGAAATGCCACGAATATGAAAAAACGAGAAAAACTAAAAGAAAAACAAATTGTGAACGGTCGTGTTT